CTGTGTGGGGGGGGGGTGGTGCCTGGCACAAAATTACTATCAGAATTATTTTTGCTTTAGCCTTCTGACTATACAAAACATGATGAATGAGAGTATGAAGAGTTGAGCCAGTCTGTCCTTACACTTAAAAGAGCATGTCCAACTGGTTGCTGAATGGTTACTAGCTTACTGAAGTCACTCTCGGCCACAAAAAAACAAGTTTCTAAGCAATTCTCTTGATTATGCTTACAGTTTAGAAGTTTTAATATTTTTCAGATTCCAGTATTTTCCACTGTTAAAGGAAGAAAGTACACTAATTTCTATATTTCTACGTTTGTATATTTGATTTCTAGGAAACAAGCTTTCAGCTGCTCTGAAGAATGAAGATGCTGCTCAAAGGTATAGTTTTCAACTAATGATATGTACCATTCATTTTGTTTTGCCTCACTTTGAAATCGTATTCTCTGCCTTGTGTGTTTTTTTGCTTTCTGAGAATACCGTGACTAACCTCAGGAGATTGCCAGTATCAACATCATGCAGACTTGTTTGGAGTGACGCTATGTAGCTTCTAACAGCATGCATATATGTGCATTGTGTAATATGCTAAAAGTTTATGGATCTAACCTCCACAGTTGCATTTTCTTAATCTGTAGTGCTTTCTTTTTGCCATTTTAATTTCTTTGCATACCTGACATTTGTCTATTCATTTTAAAAAAACAAACTTGAGAGGAAAAAAACACTCTGCCATGGACAGTTACCTGAATATTAGTTTGATTCTCTAGTAGAGCTAGACTGACAAGTGAATAGCATAGATCTCTATCAGTTAAGAAAGCAGACTGACTGTACATTGGCAACCTCTTGGGCAGCGCTGACAAATGGAGATCAGACACGTAGGTGGTTGCTCTCTGGGTATTTGCTGACAGTAGGATAGTGGCAAGACTCAGGAAATCTACAGTAATGGGATTTGTTTCCTTTGTACCTTCACACTCAGTCTTGTTCCAGTCCTTTTTTTTTCCTGTTCTTCGTGTCTCATCCAGTTTATATTCTTTTGACAACACTCCATAAATTTGTTGTCTCAGGCTCTTTGTCCTGCCAGTTCTAGGTTTCCCTCTCTTGCAAGAATTGTTGGGTAACCTTGTATGGAATGATTGCAGTGCAATAAGAGGCAGTACTTTCCCTGACTGGGGTGGAAATAAAGCAAACCATGGTTGTAAACTGCTTTGTGGTTATTACAGAGTTACTAGTCAAGCTACTTGTTGCTTTGATTGGCCAACATGGTGCAATGCAGAAAAATGTAAGCTACTGTATTTCAGAAAAAAGGTAAAGATGTAATTGGAGAACTGTTTATGAAAATCTGTCCTCTGTGTCATTCAGCGTCTGTTCTGTTACAGGAAGGCAGCTCTGGAAGCTGCTATGAGAAAGAAGATTGAATTTGAGAAAAAAGCATTGTGTATTGTTGAACAACTCCTGGAAGAAAACATTACTGAAGAGTTCCTTCTGAGTTCTGTAGGTGTTGCAAGTTTTTATACTATTTTGTGTCATAGTGTTCAACTTTTTTTTTAACGTTATTAGAATAATTTACTGCAGTGTAAAGTACACAAACCATTTATTCCCTCTCTCATCAGCTCTGATGATGATTGCCTTATTTTCAAGGGTTCTGTGATGAAAACATGCTCTAGTTTTGCAGGATTCTGTATGTTTATGAATCCTCACTTTATTACCACAGCCTTTGTTTATGCCTCTCTGGTTCTGGTCTCATACATAAAGTACAAAAATTTAGGCCTACATCACATCATCTGTGAATTTATACAGTGTCTCTGTAATGCACCACAGTTTATCTAGCAGCACAGTTTTGCTGGAATGGTATGATGCTTACCTATGTTAAGGTTGTAAATAGGCTGGTAAATAGCTGTACAAAAGATGTAAATAGAGGAAAAGTATGAAAATAGGCGCCTCACTAGAGGCATAATTATGAAACTTTCTTATGTGTGAAAAGAAGTGCCCATTTCTTTTTCCCTGTTTACCCTTTTAACATTTTTACTGTGTAGGTTCTAAATGTTATTTACTAAACCTAAACTAAATTGATAACTGTTAAAAAATTTAAAATATTTATTTGCTTATTTTGGGTACAAAAAATGACAGATTTCCCAGTATCTGTTGAACTATTTTCTTGTCATTTTAGGGAAAATGTATTACTCCATCTCACTATAAAGACATTGTTGATGAACGGTCTATCATCAAACTATGTGGTTATCCTCTGTGTCAAAATAAACTGGAAAATGTAAGTTGTTTTTTATTAATTCTGTTATCGTAAGAATCTCTTCACTATTTTTATTCTCTTGCTTTTTAATTTTAAACTTACAATATTAAACACAGATTGAAATACTGTCGAGGAATGAACCAGGCATCATATCATTTCATTTCAGTATAATCCTTCTGAAGTAAAAGGTAAAATTTGATCAATTGACAACCATTACACTATGACAGAAACAACTGGCATCTACTTTGACAGTAATAAAGATGAATGCGGTGTGGCTTCATGGCCTTCCTTTGAGCGTACAGAAGCTTTCAAATCTTGTTCTTTAGTGTAACTGCATATCTCTGAGAAGGATTGAAGTGAAAAAATAATACAGGGATATTGCTATATGAATGCATATACATCTGCTCTAAAAATGTACATTATCTCTGTCAAAATCATAGTCACACTTATTTAGGTATGCTATATCACAGCTTAAGCAGAACTCAGAGATCAGTTAGATAACCTGTGATATAATACCAGTGGTGGTATACCTGATTATCTGAAAAAAAATCTATCCAAGGATAAAAAATTCTACTGTTTTGGACTTCGTATGTCCCCACAGAAGTTCACTCAGAAACTGTATTGTCTAGGTTTATCTGGGTAGTGGTGGGCGGTAGCTGACAGTACAGTCTCGTGTGCATATGAGTAGATATGGATTAAAGAAGGACATCTCTGTAGTTGCCCAACACTTACACGAGTAAAGTTTCTACCATGGCAGCTCCGTTGTTTTATGTTCAGTGCTGGCTTTTTTGTAGATCTGATGTTGCCTTCTACTGATAGTGAGATGTAAATGATTAAAGATAAGTTGCCATGCTTACATCTGAGAAGGTACAATATCAAAAGAATTGAGAGAAAAGGTGGTTGTAGTATGCAATTTAGATAGAACATATTAAAATATGTAAACTAAGAATGAAGTTTGCTATGAAGTCGTGATGGAAGTAACAGTCTTGCTGATGAAAGCATATTGTTTTAGGTGCCAAAACAGAAGTACAGAATTTCAACAAAAACGAACAGAGTTTACGATATCACTGAAAGAAAGGTATGGTAACAAGTCTATTTCTGTAATGTATTTAATATTGTCTTACATTTTGTAACAGCATTCATATAGTGGCTTGATTCAGAGCCAATATGTTTGGTTCTTATGAAAATAATTTCTATGAACTGTTAGAACATGAAGCTTTTTATGCATTTCAGTTTCTAGGTGCTCCCTTTGGAAAGACAAAAAGACGACTAAAGTTCTTTTCTAATTTAAACATAACATGAAAGGTTTTACTTGGATAGCAGTTTGAATTTAAGACACAAATGTGTGTCTTAAATTCAGAGCTGGTCTCAAAAGACATTTGTGAAAAAGCGTTCTCTGTTTTGCTCTATTATAGTCAATGAGCTCTAGTAGGGTCAAAGCGCACATCCTTTTCTCTCACTTAAGTTTGCAGTAGTGTAATACAAATTACATCTTATACATTACTTAGTGTGACTACCTTCAGGGTTCTGTTTTGAGGACTTTTCAACATAAAACCTATCTCTTCACAAAATCTCTTTCTTTCTAGAAGCATATTCATGCATGGGGTTGTGTAAAAGTCTTTGCCTGCTCACAGGATACACAATCACCTACAGGTGCTTAGGTGCTAAACTGTAGGACAAATGTTTCTAGTTCCAGAACAAATTTCTTCAGTATCACTAGTATCCATTCCTTTACTCTGGCTACAACTCTGGGATACACAAAATTCTAAGAATTGCTTTCTCAAGCTATCAGATAAGACTCCAAGAAGTAGGATGCAAGCATGCAAGTTCATTTTTCAAAGATGCTGCAAAATATTACGTGTTGTTCTGAGTATTGCAAAATATCCAAGTCCTGTTGTTAACTAAAACTTTCATTATTAAACACCTGAATTTTATTGCAGGTCTTTTAAACTGTATGAACATCTTGTTGGGTTAGGGATTGCTCTTTGACCAGTTTTGGTGTTTTTTAAAATTACTGTTATGTAGAACCCAACACTGGTTTGCTTCTCAGTGTGTAATAAAAGTACAAAAAGCAGAGGGGAGAAAAGAAGCGGCTAAAAGTGACTTGTGGGCAATTGGGGTAGACCTATTTGATAGGTTTCTCAGGTGAATTAAAAACATGGTCATAGGTTTAAAAAGAAATGTAAAATGGTACTTAATTTTACAGGCATAAAACCCAATTACTTTCAGACCTTTTTGTGAGAATTAAAGTTGTCTTTAGTCTTTTTTTCTTGCTTTCTCTCTCATTTCCAGTGCTTTTGCAGCAACTTTTGCTATAGAGCATCTAAATATTTTGAAGCTCAAATTTCCAGAAGTCCAGTATGGATGCGAGAAGAAGAAAAGTGAGTATAATCTTATATATTCATTGCTCCTTCTGAGAATATTATTTTCTCTATGCAAGCTGCCATGCTAATTAATCAGCTGTAGTGCACCAAATTATGTCTGAATCAGAGGTAACTGATGTTAACATGTTGGCTTAGCTTGGTTTTATTTTAAGTGTTGTTGCTATATTGATTACAATAATTGACATGACTCGGTATTACTCATAACTCCTTAGACATGACCATGTTAACTGGGAAGGCAGACTAATCATAAATAATAGTCAACCCCTATTAATTTTAAAATGTACTTATTAGGATTGGATTTTTACAAACCATTCCATGTACAGGATGGATTTATCTTATCCTGTTACAAGAGATTTTCTAATTTTAGCACAGCACTTTGCATTGGTCTTAAGGTTAGACTGTGGTTGCTGGTACCTGAAAGCAGACTATGACATGAAGAGGTTCTTTATCCTGTCTAAATTTCAGATTGCCCATTTCCTGTTGTTACTGCATTTTGGAACAGTGGGATGCAGTCCATGTTGCTAGTTTAGGAAACACAGGCTTGCAAATGATGAGTTGAGCCAATGGGTGTCACTGTTTAGCAATAAATACTTGCCTAGAGAATGTTCAGCTGAATTCATTCAGCTTTTGTTCTCCAAGACGGTACTTTTCGTAAGTCTCCTGGTTTTCAGCTAAAGAAACTAGCTGAAATGATATGTGTGAGCTCATTTTCACAGTTCAAATCAGTTACATGAAATACCTGTTCAATGAGAGAAGAGATTTAGAGCAACATGATCTGAAGGTAAAAAGTAGGTAAAATTAGTCTCTTCGTTAAATGTTTAATGTTTACCAGTATTTTTGTGCTATTGTTCTGCTGCACTGAAAAAAGTATTTCTAAAATCTCCCTTTATTCTTTACATTGAAAGTGTATATTTCTGATATGCCTGATATAGTTATTTATTTATGCTGGGTGGTGGTAGGGAGGTGATATTTTCAAAAAACAACCAACCCCAGATAGTTCATGACTAGGTATATCTGTTTGCACAGCCACATACATGTGCACCGGGTGATAGAGGTTTTCACATTAGAATATCTGAAATTCTTTTGACAGAAAAGACTACAACCTCCACTTAAAACGAGTTAGACTTGAAACAAAGAAGAGTTATGTGGAGTTAATAATTTAAATCATTGTATGTTACCACCTTTAGTTTCCAAACTCAGTTCATTCATATGAGTGGTGCCGCGTTCATCCTTTTAACCCTGGGGGGGGTTTTGTATGCTGTCTGAGAGGTGTTAGTGCATTGACTTGCATTTAGTGCATGCTTAAAAGGTTTTCTTTCATTCATAGGATGGGTGGGTGAGAATAAAATGTGGACAGGTGGGTGTTGGATAAAATGAATAGCATTGCAATGCTGCCTCATAACTGAATTGAAGCAGATTTAACTGCAAGTAGAGCTTTGGAAAGAAACCTAACAATTTGTTTAGAAACATTTCTTAGAGTTTCTGGAAACCTTTGAACTCCAGTTTTCTTAAAGCAGTATAACCTGATAACCTAATTTTTAACAAAGTAAAATTTTAAATAAGTGAAAATATCCTGAATATTTTTCTTTTTTTAATTAATTTGGAGCATTTTTCTATAAAAGGCCTAGGATTGTTTTTACGCTAGGAACTTTTCGACCTATGAGGATCTTGGCATGTTTACTTTGCTGAAAAGGAGACCAAAGGGTCATCTGAAAGCAGTCTATAACCTACCTGAGCCAAGCTATTCTTGGTTGATGGCAGAAAACTTAACAACGGATGATGGTCACAAATTATTGCATGGATGGTTCAGGTTGGACACTGGGGGGAAAAAAAAAAAACAAACAGTATGAAAGTTGTGGTGGAATGAAACAGGATACTCAGCAACATTTTGAAATCTCCATCCTTGGAGGTTTTCAAGATTTAAATTTAATGAATTTGTGGCTGACCTAATCTAGTGCTGGTGACAGTTGTATTACAAACAAGAGGTCAGAGTGGAGACTTCCAGAGGTCTTTTCTAACTAATATTTGTGTGACTTGCTGATTGTTAAATGTTGTTCAATGTAATAGCGTCATGCTGCAGGCACATGAGTCACACTCTGAGCACGTATGTATAAACCTGCTGTCACTAATCCTGCTTCAGACAGAGGGTCTTGGGCTGGAAGATCCTCAGACATCCCTTCCAACCTCAAATATGTATTTTATGTATTAATGTGTATTTCGAGAGCATTGATTTAGCAGAAAAGTCTTCATTCTGTTTCTTCTTTTTGCAGACCACCAGACATAGAGCTGCTGAAGGAGGGACAGAGGTACACTGAACAAAATGGGGTTTTTGTTATATACACTTACAGTTAGAAATATTAACATCGTATCAGGTGAAAGGGGAATCTTTGATTTCCTGTGTTATAGAAAAGACATTATTAGAACCTACACAAAGGATTATTTGTCTTGTTTAGTTTTTTCCATTGTGATTCTAAAACAGCATGTTTGGTCTGTATGATTTAGTGTACAGCTGCTCTAGGCCTGTATATCTTAATTGAACCTGTTGAAATCTGAAACAAATACACTGTTTGTGCTTTGCATATTTTATACCATCTCTTCTTTATAAAGGAAATAGTACCAATTATATGTGATGAAAGCTTCTGTACTTATTAATCTAAAACATCTGTGTCAGCTGAAATGAAATCATGCTACTCTGTCATCTCTCTGTACCTGGCTGTGTAGTGTGACTTTTGTTTTTTTTTCTTTTGCAATACATGGCCATTAGGTGGCAAACTTACATACGCTAACAGCAGCTTTGCTGTTCCCCTGATTTTAGGTTACTGTATTCCCATATAGGGTAAGATGCCTATCTTCATTTTAAAATTTTGCTATTCATCATGCAAAATCTGAAATTGTTCTCTTGTCTTTAGTAATGTATTGTTTACAGTTCTTTTCTGTCAGTAAGCAACTGAGAACTCCTCTAAATAGTGTCTTGTCATCTTGATTGCAGAACATTACAACTCTGCATTCTAGATCACTTTTAGAAGAACAGCAATGATTCTTAAAGCAAAAAAAGTACACTTCTATAAGGGTTTATTTATGTATCTTACATGAGAATGAAAAACTATTACATGTAACACCCATCTCTTATTTCATTCATGGCTTGTGTTTTCTGTTACAGTGGACAGTCTGGAGAAGAGGTGAAACTACGTGATGAAGCAGTTAAAGCATCTGACATTGAAAATCCTAGGATATCTTCAAATCCATGTGAAACTGGTTCCCATGACACAGCCAGTGACAGCAGTAGTGATACTGAACAAGAATTTGTTTCTTCTGTCCTACCAGGAAGTCAGTCAAGTTCAGCCAATTTTGCACAGAAATTGCACAGAAAGAAGCCTCCTCAGAAAGTCTGTTCCAGCCCTAAAACCGAAGACTCAGATATGGTAGAAGCCACTGAACAACTATCTAATTGTAAATTGGATGATCAGGCAGAAATGCATGCTTGCTCTGTTCATAATAAAATAACTGCAACACCTTCAAAAAATACTGCTCTAGGGAAATCAAGTGCTTCAGAAAACTATGCAGATACCCGTGGTTCACAGATAGTTTTTCTAAGTGTGAGCAAAAGAGGGGCAGAACATCTTAAAAGAACACTAGCTAACTTGAAAGAACATAAAAAACCTGAACTGAGGCATCCAGTTAATTCCAAAGGCAGTTTATTAGAGGTGCTCAAGCAAACACTTATGGAATGGAGAACTGAGGAAACTTTAAAATTTCTCTATGGCCCAAACTATACTTCATGTTCATTGGAGTGCATATCATCTGCCAACCAGGAGAATGAAGAACTTGATGAGGATGACTTGGATACAGCTGATGATCTTAACACTGATGCTACAGGGGATTCTGAAAACAGTTTGAACTATTCTTTACCTTTCACAGACACAGGTGGAATAGTTAAGCCTGTGCCTAGTTATGAAAAGTTAAAAGAAGAGACAGAGTTCCTAGAACTCCGAGTAAAAGAGTTCTATAAAGGAAAGTGCATCTTGGCTGAAGAGGCAGTGACACATGCACAGGCAGAGGAACATCCAAGGAAAGACAAGGTAAGTGTGCAGTGGAATGGTTTTGAGGCTGTATAAAGCCTGCTTTCAAGGAAGCTCTTTGTCATCATAAGTAAATAAATATATAGATAAGGGGTATTTATTGATAATCTGTAACTATTTTGATGCATTGGCTTTAATTAAATACTAGGTTGCAGCTGCTGAAGTTTTTTGTCTAATACAGGATGATCAACAGGAAGATCTTACCTTCCCACTTGTTGATTCAAATGCACAGATGCAGATTAGAAAGCGAATCGTCCTTGAAAAACTGAGAAAAGTGTAAGTATCTTTTACTTTAGTAAATGTCAACCTGAAGTTGGTGCTCATTCGTCATAATTTTAAGTAACAAACACACTGTACAAGGACATTCTGTTTTTTTCTAGTTGGCCTTAGTCATAACTTAAATCTGTTACTGCCCTAAAGAACGTATTTATTTCTGAGACATTCATCTGCAGTATAGTTGCAGATGTCAGTTTGCACAGCCTACTGAGGCAGATGTCAGAATCTCACTATTAAAGTGTTCTCTGGAAGAAACCTGTCCCTTCCTACAAGTGTTGGGGCTTGTAGTTGACAGCATTCCATGCTGGCATGACAGCATGTTCCCAGTCTTCAGTAGCTGGCAGAAGTCAACACAGTTGGGCCATTACACTGAAAATGTCTATGGTTTTTGGATCTAAACGTTGATATAATACATGGTGCTCAAAATGAGACTATGTGCTTAAAAAAAAATAATTCCACAACAGACTTCATTTATCATCCTCCTTTCAGTTATCTGGAAATAATCTAAATTATTTGGATTCTTGTAGGTTGTCTAAAAGCAGATTCTGATGGACATAAAATATGAACTATTTAAATAGCTGTATGTACTAACTGCTCAAGTCTAAACTGAAAACCTTGAAGTTGATTGGGAGGAGTGCAAATATTTGTCCTGTACATTAAGCATACTGTTACTGGCAAACAGATCTACACAGAAGGAAGCAGTGTTTTCAGACCTCTTAATAGTTTAAGCAAAGGTCTTGCTAAAAGAGTTTCTAGTCCACATTTGGATGGCTGGTATAGTATTCCTCTAGCTACAACTATTAAAGGCCCTCAGAGTTGAATCTTAAAACTTCCCAAATGCCAAACCTTTTTCACATACATAAAAGGACTTTGAAGTCCCAGAAAAAATGTTAAGGTTATCTCTGCTGTAGCTGTTAAAATTATTAAATTGTCAAAGTTGAGAGGACCTTGAAAATACTCCTGTTTTCAAGGGAATGCCAATAAATGAGTGTTTGAAGGTCATGATTGTGGTGGTTTTGTTATGGGTATTTTGCTTTTCTGTGGTTGTAGTTTGTGCTAGCTGGCCAAACTGGATTTTGCAGAATTTTTATTTTTTGTTTTTTAACTAAAACCTACAACCAAAGCTCCCCCCAAAACCTCCATTCTCTTTCTCTCTACTGCAACAAGTGTGGACAGGTTACAAACACAGAATCAAACCATGCTGTAAGAAAGGTGACTATCTCTGATCTTTCTGTAAGTGTCGGTGTTGCACTGATTCCAAGGTCTACTACTGTATGATAAAGCAGTTTCTCTGCTCCTTCAAATTTCTCCACAAGTTCGTCAGTTATTTCCAGCTTCTAGCAAAATTTCTGTTGAACTTAAAAGTGATACTCCATGATAAGAAAGACAGAATGTTCTTTTTCTTAGTTTCTTCAAAGGTTTTATTCTTTATTATCTCCTTTTTAGTTGATCATTTTAAATTTCATGAGGTGACGTCGCACTCTAAGGGAGACTTTTCATTGTGACAAAGCAACGATTTCTTGATAAGTTCAGATGAAGTCAGTGGGAATATGAATATGCATCATAAGAGTCCCATGTAGAGTTTTTGTAAAACATGCAATGATGTAAAGGAGAACAGAAATCTTGCTTCTTCCAGGAATACTGATGTACCATGTGCATACATGAATATAAATATAAATATAAATATAAATATAAATATAAATATAAATATAAATATAAATATAAATATAAATAACTCGGTATTCAAATACAAGAGGATATTAATTTTTAAACAGGTAAATAGAGGCAAAAGCTTAATCCTAAATGTGAAAAACAATGTGTGATATTTGCAGCATTTGGGGATACTGACAGCTAGTTAAACAGTATGTGCAGTTGCTGTGCTATAGCAATTTTTACAGGCAGTCAAGTAGGGAGTTTTGAAATTTTTTTATTAGACTACTATCTTGATTCCAACTATCAGGCTTACAGTGGAATGTTATTTCTGTTGCATCTGTGTGAGCCTGAGGTTAGCATATATATTCTCTGTGCAAACCTCATTTAGACATATAGTTTCCTTTTGTATTGTTGCTTTTGAACCAGGTAAATACAAACATTTGAGACCTGGATTTCTAATCCTCATAATGTAAACATTTTGATTTTTTTTGGTAAGAATGTCTTGTCAGATCTGAAATGTGAAGTTAATAAGAATAAGCATGTAAAACTAATATATTTAATTTCTTCTTCACATTCACACTGAATTAAACCTTATTTTTGAAAACAAGCTGTTGTAAAGTGAGAGTGTTGCCCAAGCACCACTCAGAGGAATTCGAACTGTAAACTACGGGCATGATCTGCTGCATGAAAGTCCATTTCTTTTTATTAATTTTCATGAGCTTTGGTGGAAGTCCTACTGGAGAAGAAATGAGAGAGGAAAATTTTCATTGACAGGTGTCTTTTGCCTTCTAGATTACCTGCAGTTTTGGGCCCTCTTCAGATTACTCCAGGTGATATTTACACAGAGCTAAAAAATCTTGTCAAAACTTTCCGGTGAGTATTGGTCTTTATATAGAAATTCTTCTTGATCGATTAATTAAACAAGCTGTTGAATGACTTGTGATTTGGACACAGAGGGCCCCATTGCAGATTTGCCCTTTTCTAGCTGTGTGTTCATGTAGGTAATGTCACATTCCCTGTGGACTAACAAGTCAGCCCTTTTCCTGCTCTTGACAGTGACTAGGTCACCAGGAGTATTTGTAGATTTTTAAAAACTAGGCCAGTGGTCTCCAGAGGATGATGGTGAGTCTTTTAAAGGTTCTGCTACCTCGTCACCTCCTATTAAGCATGAGTTTCTGAGATCTGTCGCTTTCTTTTGCTCTGGCTCCCTACAGCCGGGCTAAATGGCTGTAATGTGATTAATAATTGTTACCACTAACTTCTAGAGCCAGGAAGAAGGTCCATTTCGACCTGTCTTGTTCCTGATTTCAAGGGGAAGTAGATATAGTGGACACTTCATCACCACAGATGAAGCTTTGGTTCAGTCAGAAGCACTAAAGACACTATTTGGAAACACTGGGATAAAGAAGGAGGGGAAAACCACATGGTGGTAACTTCTTTGAACATTTTTAGGTTTTCTTTGGGACACGGCTCTCATAACTTGGGTCGGATAATATCCTGCATCTTAAAGTATTGTCAGGGAAAGTAGCAACAACAGTTGCAGCTCTTGTATATGTTGTCACTCTTGAAACTTCCTGCCCACATACCCAACCTGAGTGAGGTTTACATGTAAATTTTCCAAAACGCATTCATGTGACATTTGCCACAAGGAATCTAAGCTTTGGTGAATAGAAAACCAGTTATACCTGATTCCTTATGATTTATCGGGTGTCTGGAAGGACACGACTAAACCACAGATCTCTATACATGGAATATATTACTATGGAAGATACTCCTTTCCTTTCTGGTGACTGTGCATGATCTCTTTCTTTCAAAATAATTGTTGGTGTTTGAACTTGGTTCCATAATTGCAGTCTTTTAAGTTGTGATTAACCTTTTATTTTAGCCACAGCACTGAAGCCAGGGAAGATACTTTTTGTTATATTGGAACAGCATGTGTATACTGTATACATACCAATTATTTGAATAAGATCTTTTTGTCTTAAACCAGTTTAGTTGCTCTGCAGTCTAAATACTTAATAGTTACTTTAGCTTATGGATTGATAGAGCTGGAAAAACTACATTTGTCTCTTTCAATCTACTTTTGTATGATTAATTATGTGAGAAGTCCTGGAGGTTCTCAAAAGCAGAACTTCTATTTTAAATCATTTTTACTATTCAAAGATAATATGGCCCGAATATGAAGTTTTAAAGTGGTTAATAGGAAAGGAACCTGGAAGTCAAAATGGACTTCTAAAAACATATATATATATATGTGTGTGTGTGTGTATATATATATACACACACGTGTGGATTAACAAAATGGAATCAGATCTAATTAATTTGGACTTTGATTCCAATACCTGGCTCAGGTAGCAATAGTTGATGATATTTTTAAAATCTCCCCTGATCTCTTTCTGATCCCTCAGATAACTCTTTGAGTTTATTTTTAAGGTTTTTTTTGTTAGGAAGTAAGTTGAAGGCAATGGTAGCAAGTTCTCGAGGCTCTCTTACTGTGAAGATTGCAGATAAATTGGTTAGAATTTCAGCATTTCAGGCAGGGGATGGTTGAAGACAATTGTGGGCACTACACAAGAATTTATAAGTTCCTTTATATATCTCTCAAAATAAATGGAGTTTTATTGTCACTAATGGTAAAATAGTACAAAAATAGAGGAAACAGGGAAGCAATAAAAAACTTTGGCCCTTTCTCCTTCTTACCTTTCTGATACAGAAAGGTCTGTTGATAGACAAAAGCTAGCTCATGGATATTAAGATGAAAGCATACGTTTGAATCTCCAGTTCTGTAGGTAAGTTTAAATTTACTTAATATGAGTGGTCTCTGTGATTTTTGGTTGAATCACTTCGCAGGGGGACCTGGGATAAATTTTAAGCTATATCTATGTTTACAAGGTATAAAAAGTAAATTATTACTTTCGTTGTTAACATAGTTAAAACGTTGATGATTATGGAGGGAGCACTGACAAATGCTAGTGCTCTTTCCTGCTTTTTGTACTGGAAATATTTCAGGCTGAAGAACTTGCAAAAGAGGGTGGGAGATAGAACACATAGCTGTAGTAGAGCTTAGCTGAGGAAGGGTAAAAGAGCATGTGGTGAACTAAGCAACAACAATTTTCAGCTCCATTGGTTTTTAAAGAAACACTTGCAGTTCAGCCTCCTTTGGGCAGCATTTCATTCAATCACCACTGCTGGGAAACGCTCTAGAGGGATCTCAAGAGACATTTTAGAATGGTTAGAGCTCTTCCCAAACCAAGTCCCTCAGTGCCTGTAAGCTTTTGTTACGAAAACTGAGATGTCAAATAATTCTCCAGAGTGTGTAAGGGCACTTTGTTAAAAGATCGAGAGAAAATTAGCTATTTGTATATAAATCGAGGCTAAATGATCATGTTTGTGAATGTGTGGTTGGGATTTTTTAAGCATAATATTTCATATTGAAAATAGAATTTTGTCTGTATCTTATGGTTACAAGTATTTTAATTCATTCTGTGGAATTTATCACTGACATTGAACTCTGTCAATGAATATGATCCAATTGTTTCTTAAAGATGTGTTCAAGACTTTATTACAGCTTTGCCTTACCTGGTTTCTAAGACAATATTTTAGCTTTTAAATATGTATCGTGAGTGTATGTTACCTTGTGTATACTGTTACTAATAGGCTTTTACCTATTACCTTGTTAAGTGGAATTCTAGGTTCTGGGTTTCAAGTCAATTAGCCATATTCTGTTGTAGACAAGGTTCTGTATGGAAATGTGAAAGTACCAGAATGTTAAAGACCTTTTCTCAAGTGACTTCTCAACAGGCTTCTCTTGAACAAGACAGCCTAGAGCTGTAATAGTAGCTCATTTTTTCTGGTTGTCATCAAAATAAATTATGCTACAATATGTAAATATGTTGCTCTTTTTCACAGGGTAGAGGATCTGTCTTTTATAGATAAATTGATCTAGTTGAAGCCTAAAGAAAAACAATCTATGCTCTAGTATTTGCCTGTGCTGACCTGGGTTAGTTAAACTTAGCTTATCTTAGTGCAAGTTTTGGAAAAACTGTAGATAGCTGAGGTCCCCTAAAATCGCAACTATATGTTCTAATCCCATGAAGTCAGCTTGCTGCCTTACTGAACAGGCAAATGACTGAAGTAACAGGTCAGATTCTTGAACTGAAGTTACATATGCCTACACCTGGGAATCTGGATGTGTGAATGAAAAGGCTGCTTCATTTGCAAAGTTGCTGATGATTTCACTTTGCAACAAAGATAAATTGTAAAATGAACAAGCGAAAGAAAATCTTCCTTTGGGTCACATTCTTTTTCTTCCAGTTGTAAGAACACTGAACGTACTGGGTAAAACTGACAGCAAGCATGGACCTTTTCAAAGGAATTTTTTTTTTTCACCAAACGTATATTTAGTACCAGTAACTCATTGCTACTAGCTATTAGTCAAATTCATAGCAATGTGTTGAACATTGATCTCATAGATTCATAGATGACAAGTATATTTTCATTGTAAGGATAAACAAACTTCTAGAAAAGGAAATAACACTCAAGACTATAATTTATAAACAGATACAAAGAAAAATAAAATTTTAAAAGATTGCTTTATATTAACCAGTTATATTTTCGTGCATCTGGTTCATAATACTTCATACTAGGGGCCTGTTAGGGGATAATTATTTAGCATAATAATCCTGGTGCCTCTCTGCCATTCCCTGTTCAACAGTGTTCCTTTTAACAAATTGTTCCTAAAAATCCCAGGAAATGTAATCCTGATGAGGACAGGTTGGTGAGCTCTTGCATTGCTGAGTTTCTTTCCTGTAACTTGTGGTCACTTCAGGGTGCTTAGGGATGTGCTTAAATCTGCTGCCACAGCAAGCTGTGTTTACAAATCAGGCCATCATTTGCTAATGTTCTGCTAACAGAATTTGAAGCTGATGGTAATTAGATGGGAAGACATCTAAAGGAAAATAAGTAGAACCGTGTGTGCACTTTTTCTGTCATTTGGTGGTTTACTTTTTTTGTTTACTGGTTACTTTAACCTTGGACTCCCCTGTATTCCTAAACTTCTGTATTAGAGTTCACTTTCTTTTCAGGCTGGAAACTAGTCAGTTATTGGGAGGTCATTTGGAATTTTTATGCATCTTTCTTTTTTAGTCTTTTACCCTGTCATCTTCTGCCACTTGAATCTATCTGCTCAGTCTGAGCTCCTTCATAGAGCATTAAAACTACTGCATGGGTCCTGCTGCCTACTGGATAGTGGAAGCAGTTGAGTCCAGCTGGTGGTGTGAACCACAACACCCACAAGCTAGCGACTAAGCGACCCACACAGCTATTTGGGATCATCCAAATTTCTTGGCTTACCTATCCTGCCCTACAGAGGCTAAGAAAGTAGAGACATTCTGTTTTGCAAAGTTGCATATTTTCTTTCTTTGGGTAGGCAAGGGAGAATTTAGCCAAACTGTTTAACAGAAGATATTTCACTACAAAACTCAAATCATGTACACAAAATTTTGTACATTTTTAACATTTCCACATTATATGTTTATGACAGAAATCTAGTGACCTCTCTTTCATGGATTGTTCTAAAGTTATAGTTTTGTCTAGAGAGTTAACCGTTTTTACAGAGGACTTGCACTTCCCTGTTGTCTGAAAGCTTTGCTCTACAGAGGCCTTGGTGTTGACACACAACTTGCTTTTGAAAGTGATTGCCCTTCCAGCGCTCCTTATTATTTAAGGCTTCACACCTGTAGGTTGCTAGCTTTAGTCTCATCTGCCTGAAATGTTTTCTTTTTTCAGCTGCACAAGTGTTTTAGGACAGGTGTTGTATTGAAAGGTTACTCATTGTGGAAGCCTGACTGTTCATCCAGTCCAGTGACAGTAGTGCATCAGCAGATCTATATTCCTGTATCCTGCTGGTTATCTGTGTCTTTTGACTACCTCTTTCATAAATCTGATATTGATGGCAATGACTAGTGTTCAGGCCTTGCCAATCAATACTAACATTGAATAAGAGTTAATTGACACAAATAACTGCATCTCTCAGTTTGTGTACAAGAATGACACCTTCCTGTGCTCTAATCAATAATAACTCCTTGTAGAGCATTGAAATAAAGCTGCTTTCTCTCTTTGACAGAGTTTTCCCAGGTGGCTTGGAGCTGTCTCTTCCATTGTGTCTCATCATAGCAGATTAACTGGAATGTTACATATGAATTGCCTGTCAAGATGATTCTATCAGGCATTTCTTGGTAGTGTTTATCACTGCCGTCAGTATTGAGTTCAGCCTTTGTTTTGTCTCTTATTCTGTAGCCAGAATAATCTAAGTTTACCAGGTATGAGGTTTGTTGTCAGCTATTTCAAATAGTAACTGGTGAACTTGAAACTTTTAATAACAAAAATAATCTTTGTTTGCCAGAACTGTTGGGTCTAGTTTGATGTGATAATTCCTGTACATACAGCACAAAACATTGCTTTTCCTTTCACCATTTAAGAAAACTCAGGCTGTTGAGAGATTACTTGAGTAATTATTGCTTCAAAATCTTATTTTGGTTGGAAGACTTGGAGATTTGAGGAAAAAAATAGGATAATAATTGCTTTGATCATTACTATCCTTAAATAAAAATTTTATTAATTTTTAATACCATTCTAAAATAGGGAAATGGAAAATGATCCTATAAAACATCTTACTAATAACTGCATTTTAATGACTATTTTGGATATAATTTCAGGGACTTAGTTAAGAAAATTTGAATTTTAACAATGGCAAGTACACATACTTTTATTTTTACACTTTTTAACACTTTTTTGGTAACTATATACTTGCCCAAAGAAATTTTTTAAATCTTTTAAAAAAATTTCTGGAGAGGAAAACCCTAGATTCAAATTTATTCCTTGGTATTTAATTTTAAGCAACCTCCCATCTTCACCAGTGCCTGTAGAAATGGGTATGAATGATAGGGTAGCTTTGTTCTGGATTTGAATTTATACAAGGCTGCATAGAAGGGAAGTTGAGAGCAAGAAGGAAGCAAACACAGGGAAGCACTTGCCCCTCAGTACTTCTGTTGGATGGTGCCATGTCTCTCAAAATATTTCTGCTAGCCTTTTTGGGTGCCTGCTTAGCTACAGCTTTGGTTTTAGCTGTGTCTTTTCCATGAAATTGCTGGTCTTCAACACCATGGGTCATGCCTAAATTCAGCCATAGCAATTCACATGGAAATTGTTTTGAGTCAGATTAACGTTTGACTTAAAGTAGATCTGTTTATTACAAAGTTCAGCCAAATGAGTCAGCAGGTATAAAATGCAGCAGCACTTTTGCTGAGCACCCGTGGCTCCTTGATTCACAGCTCATTTTCTTGCTCTTAAATCTGCAATGGGTCCCATTGCATAAGTTAGAATTCGAGGTTTCCATTTTAAAAACAAGAATCATCACAGGATTGTCTCCAGTATCTTATAAAATCCTGTCTGTTTCCGCAACATTAGCTTTTACAGCAAATCTGGATCTGAAGCCAACAGGGGGGAAACTAAGTGTAAGAAGGCCCATCTTTTCAGAAACACATGTGCAGTTCCTGAGAATTTCCCAGTGGGTATAAGTGAGAGATGAGCCCTCTCAGCAGCCAGAACTATTTGTGAGCTAATTAAAAGAATTAGCTTCTGTTCAGTCTTCCCCCTCCCATTTTCATATAGAAAAAATATTGGGAATTCTGCCATTCCTCCACTAAAGGATGAGAGAAGCCTGAAAGTTGGTGAATTGCTCAGATACAGCTGTAGTTGCTGCATTGTAACTCAGTGTATTAAGTCTTTTAATGGTAGCCTTAAATTCAGCAGTTAACATCTGTTTACTTTCACTCTGAAATGTTCTTAATGGTTTTTTTTTTATTATTTTTCAGGTTAACAAACAGAAATATTATTCACAAAATGCCTGAATGGACTCTAATTGCTATTGTTTTGTTATCTGTGTAAGTACCCTTTAATGTCAAATATTCTCATACACAACTGTCTTAACTAGCCTAATCAAGATAAGATTTAATTTTCAGATAAAAGGAGTGAAAGATTTCTTTACCTGGGGAATCAACAGAAGTATATTTTCATGCAAATGAACTAAATTCTGACAAAACAGGATTGTCCCACTTGAAACAACATGTTAACAATGGACTTTATGTTAAAACCAACTTTATGTTAAAAAAAGAGAAATTAAGCTTTAGGGGTTTTTTAAGAGGGCTGGTGGGGTGAAGGAGGAGTATACTTTGGTCTTCCATTTGCTGCTGACAGACATTCTTCCTCTGTGACAGTAGAACAAAATGATGTGTATTGCATTATTTGGATTTGGCATAATTATTATACTTTTCTCATTTTACTTCTAATTTCTTAAAAGATTTCACTTTTGCAATTAAAGTAAAATTATTTCCATAAAGATACGGTGTGCTTCTAAATAGGTTCATGTGAATATTGTAGCAAACTTCTTTGAGAGGGGAAAGCTTTTTTAGCAGCTCCCAAATTTATGAAAGGAACACTGGGACCCAGTATTTTATTTTTGAGGATTAGCTTTCCTGTTTAAGATTATGATACTACTGTAGCTACACTCCTCCTTAGCTTTGATCTACTTACTGTAGAATTAAATTCTTTCCAAGGGTTTTCCTAATGGGAAGTCTGATTTTTATTACAGTTTCTTTCAATAAACGTCTACATGGAGACACTACCAATAAAAGCTGTAAAAAAAATACACATCAAGTAACTTCTTTAATTTACATTTTCCAAATTCATGTACATTTCCAAAGTTAAAGATACAAACTTTGCAGTGTGTAAAATAGTTCTCAGAAATTTGTATTAAACATTTAACACTGGTTCACCTTTTAAGTAATCACTGGTGGTTTCACACAGTGTCAGGGCTTGCCTTTCAGTAGGGTTAAACCATCAAGCAATCTTTGTATGTCTTTCAGCTTGAATTACAAGAATGCAAAAATCTTATTCTAGAGACTTTATTACCACACTGCTGCTGCTTCTTTTGGGCTTCCTGGGTCACTGGAGCCTGTAGGACAGAGAAGTACTTAGTCATTCACAGGTCAAGAAGTGTTGCGGGCCAGCCTCGTTGCATCCCCAGTACTGCACTTACTTTCCTTGATATTACTTCAGTCTGACACATTGTTCTGGCTTTACTGTCCCAAGGAAGACTGTACCAGCAGGCATTAGAGTAGGCTTCAACGAGCCTTACATCTGTGTCACCCAGCCAGATACCGCTCAAATGATTCATTAAATCAGAACACAGAAAGTAACTTTACTTGAATGCCTTGGCATAAATTTTTTATCAACTATAAGAACAAATCTTTTGTCATTTTTACTATATATTCTTACGGTTGAATTGGTAATTTGTGAAACAGATCTTATGAATTTTTCAAGTAGTTTCTGTACATTTAAGGAAATGGTGACTCTTGATCAGAAGTTAAAATATGTTGCTGGTCTCCACTTACGATGAGCTCTAAATGTTTACATATCTAATGACTGTTTTACAATTGCTTTAAAATGTATGCAAGTAGCAGGCAGTCTTGGTGGCAATCAGTATAAGCAGATTACCAAGTCTCTTTTTTGCTTTTGCTTTCTAAGGGTCCACTTCTAAACAAATAAATTTTATTTGATCCTAAGATAGAGTAGATTTTATTTCTAATATTATTCTATTGAAATAATGAATAAAACTCCTGTTGACTTCAGCTTATTGTAAAGCTCTTGCAAGCTCATGATCTTCAGATTTTGAACAATTATTTCTCTCAGCCCCTTCTTAGAAGAGGATGTGGAAGAATATTGATGGGGTAGAATGAGTGTTAAGCTTGTTCCAAGGAGATGATGAATGTTGCATCGTTTCTGGAAAGATTAAAACAGAACATTTAATTATTTGTGGGTTCTAATCAAACTTGGCAATTTAGTGGAAACCAGAAGTGTGCAGGAAAGGGCTACTGAGGATCTATGCAACCTCTCACAGACAGGTCCTGAGATTGTGGCCCTTTCTCACCTCCTGTAGTCTGCCAGGGAATCTGTTATATCTTGCTAATATTGGTCATAAAAAGAATTACACTCTCTAAAGTCTTCTGTGGCTTCCCCTTAGCTATACTGAGAGACAATGCATGTTGCAGCACATGTAATGTCATTCAGATCACAGGGTTGTATGGGGCCTGAGTCATAATGGTTCTTTACTAGCTTCTGTCACTGAAAGGGGAGAACATTTTCAAGAGGATGTATGTGTTCACAGATCTTGACCTGGTCCCAGACAGAGGATAGACATTTTACTCCTAACACTAAATAGTGAAGTAGAATAAGCAGCACCCTGGAAGAGGATAATACTTCCTCTTTCCAGGAGGATGAAAGATCATACTGCAGGTACGCTGGGGTGCAGGAGGTATAAGAACACAGACAACATAAAGCAGAGTGAGCATGGGATTTCAGAAACTACTAAGACCTCAAGTATTTTTTGTTTTGTTTGGAAGGGGACAGGGTTGTTTTGTTTAAAGTAGCAACTGTTGGACTTTGCTTGCACCCCATTTTGTGCATCGATATTGTGGCTCACCACTTCCTTCTCATACGTGGCGTGTGTGTGCTGAGGACTCAAATGGTGTACTTAATTTCACAGTGCACTTTCAGAGTACCCTGACCCTTTTTGTGATATGCTACTGGGCAGAGTAACTATTATCATTACAGCTGTATTGAGTTCAGGCGTCATCACTGCTTAATACTTTGCATTATGTTATGGTAAGGCTATCCTATTTTCATTGGAGTGTGCATAGTAACTCTTTGTAGGATACAGCATGTTGGATCATGGTAACATGTAATTTTGGTGCTTAGGTTAGACCTAGGCTTCCTTTATAGTCTGCCGGTCCTTGAGAAACTATGAAAAGTACTTATGTGCCCTTGATTCTACTGACTGTTGAAGAAACCTGGGCTTCTATTTCCCTGCTCTGAAATGAAGTGCCTGAAACTAGACAGTGTGACTGTCTTTCTCAGTGTATAAAATGTTGGAGATTGCAACAGTGGAGCATTTCCTGTTTCTGGTGAACAGCTGGATTTATTCAATCAAATTATCATATAAAATATGAACAGCCAGTCTCAGCCTTTATTGAAAATCTAGCCTCAGGCACTCCTATCTTTATGACCAGCACATTCAGCAATGATGTATCAACCTTCTTAGAGTACACCTTGACAGCCAGAAAATTATGTCCAAATAATTGCATTCAAGCTTGTCATGGAGTGGGTGACTCTTTAAAATGATCTGTAGATAAATTATTTGTCATTTCTAATAATTTTGGCAGTGGTATACTTCTATACTTTCCTGTTGCAGTGTTGAGTATGTTAAGCAGAATTTTTTGTTATAGCTGCTTTATGATGTGCTGTAAACTAGATGTTGCATCTATTTCCCCTGAAGAACTTTGCAAGACGTCAAATGATGCAGATAAAGAGATACAAATACAGTAGTTCAAGAAAGAATGGAGAAAGCAGTGGAAAGATTGGTTGCTATACAAGCATGGGCGCTTGCTGTTTTTAGTGTATACCCCTGATACAGTCTAATGGAAAGCTTTCAAGATATTTTCAGGAAATGTCTGCTTTCATCTTACTTATCTAAGCTGGCTGGTTCCAGTGAACTGTGGTCAGCTTCATCTACAAAGCCTGTGCAAGAGGTTTCCCCACTAAAAGCTTTGAAGCATTTCAAAATGTTCTGGGATTAGTTTATAAGCATTCGGCTGCAGTATTTAAACAAACTCAAAATGACCATGATCACTAAACAAAAGCCATCATTATATGTGTGCAGCCACTTTAGATAAATGTGTCATGTGGAGATGTACTCTGGAGGTTTACTCTCTTGGAGATAACAGTTCAGGAACTGGAGAATCTTGGGTTCAAGTAAGCGTTTTTACTTCTTTGCACACGAGAGCACATCTATTGCTTAACACTGACACTTCAAAACTATTTTAAGAGGAATTCATGTGTTTGTGATATTGCTACTCTGTTCTTATCTGAAAATGTCTGAATGTCTGAAATGTACAAATCTAATGTACAAATACATACTGGATATGAATCAGACTTGCAGAGTGACTCTTTTTCCTCCAGAAACCACATACAAGTCAGCTGGATGATCTTTTATTTAGCAAGTCTGATGATAGAAGATTGGTTCCAGGTTTCAACTGAGAAAAATAATTCATCATTAAGCTCGAAATACAGTTATTTCCCCTTTTGAAACAGAGTTTGCAGGACCAAAAATCCAGAAAGTCTTTCTTTTTATAAAAGAGTTTCAATGTGGTCATACTATTGTCTCTGCTCTTGGTCTCTATCTGTAGTGTTATATTATTGCGTGAAACAGAGAAAAAGCAAGTTTGTCTTAACACGTTAAATTTAAAAGTATATTCTTCCCTTTTTCACTCTTAATAATTTTGGGTTGTCATTTGGTGAGTCTGAACTGAAATGGGTTTTCTGTTAAGCAGTTCTTACTTATCAGCACTTTCTAAACAAACTCAAATCTGCTGGTTTGGCATACTGTGGAGGAGATCAGTATTACTTTACTTCCTCCTAGCATATTCCAGTATTACTTAGGAAACTTATATAGAACAGTATTTTGAGGGATTTGCAGTGTTGGCAATTGGAACATTAATCAGTGCCAACTTGAAAATTAATTAATTAAATATCATCGTCATTCAAAAGGGAGAAAATCGAAGAAGAAACTTTTAGCGGTTTCAAAGGTGTTTCTCCTTATCCAGAAAAATGCCACTGTGTTGCTGTAGTGCTTGTACACACAAAAGTGACGCTGTGGATTTCATTGCAGCACGGGCAGCTGCAGTCTTTTTCCATTCTAGTATTTCTCATGGATAGCCTTCTAATGGGGGTTTTGGATGTGCTGCCTAACTTTCAGGCTTGCCCAGCACAAACTCTCTGAGGTGAGTCCAGGATAATTAGTTCCCCTTTACAGTTCTGACCCTTGACC